TTTTTTTTTTTTTTTTTTTTTTTGAGACAGGGTTTCGCTATGTTGGCCAGGATGGTCTCAATCTCCTGACCTCAGGTGATCCACCTGCCTCAGCCTCCCAAAGTGCTGGGATTACAGGCATGAGCCACTGCACCCGGCCCCGGCAAATTTTTTATATTATTCATTTATTTTCCTTTAACAAAATATTTTTTTAATCTCATCTTGAATTGTAGCAAATTTTGTTTGTTTTTTGTTCTTTTTTTTTTTTTTTGGTAGCAAATTTAAAAAAAAATTTTTTTTCAGAGACGGGGTCTCGCTGTGCTGCCCAGACTGGTCTTGAACCCCAAGCGAGACTGATCCCCCTGCCTCAGCCTCCAGCTTCCTAAGTGCTGGGGTTACAAGCATGAGCCACTGGCGCCCAGCCTTATTACTTCCAGGGGAAACTGAGGCTCAGAGGTGGAGTCACATGTCCCATTCCCGCTCCGCCTGTCCTCAACCCTCCCCACTGTCTCCCCCTGCAGGTGAGGTCCGTGCCCACCTGCTGCCCTCCAAGGCCTGCCGCCCCCGGACCCCTGGGTCCCTCTCCACCGACCCACAGCCCCTGCCCCCACCCCTGCCCCAGAAGATCCTAACCCGGACGCAGTCACTGCCCACGCGCAGGGGCCTCCACCCCAGCTCCACCCAAGTAAAGCCGCCCCGGAGGCCCCTTCTGGGGTCCCACAGTGTGGATGAGAGCCAGGCCGAGGCGGGACCAGCAGGTCTCCCTGCAGAGCTGACCTTCGGTCTAGTGGACGCCCCTCTGCACCTCTCCCTCCGTGATCTGCACAGCCCCGAGGCCGTGCTGGCTGCACTGGCTGCCCAGCAGCTGGAGGGCCTCCGTGCCATCTACGCCCGGCTCCGTGCCCGGCTCATGGGAGGCCACCCTGGGCCCTGCCGCCCCGGCCACAGCTTCCGCCTCCTGGACAGCTCGCCCTGCGCGGAGAGCGGGGACGCCCTGTACTACCGCGTGGTGCGCGTGCACGAAGAGGCCTGGCACATCCTGGTGGCCAAGGTGAGCCCCTCGCCCCACCTTCTCTGAGGCGTCCCTTCCCATCTTAGCATAACCGAGGGCTTGTTTCGCCCAGCCTCGTGTTAGTTCCACCGCACGTGGAAGCCGGGCGCGGTGGCTCACGCCTGTCATCCCAGCACTTTGGGAGGCCGAGGCGGGCGGGTCACTTGAGGTCAGGAGTTCGAGACCAGCCTGGCCAACATGGTGAAACCCTGGCTCTACTAAAAATAAAAAAATTAGCCAGGCGTGGTGGCAGGCACCTGTGATCCCAGATACTTGGGAGGCTGAGGCAGGAGAATCGCTTGAACCTGGGAGGCGGAGGTTGCAGTGAGCTGAGATTGGGCCACTGCACTCCAGCATGGCGAAAGAGTGAGACTCCCTCTCAAAACAAAACAAAACAAAAAGGCGAGGCGCAGTGGCTCACGCCTGTCATCCCAGCACTGTGGGAGACCAAGGCGGGCGAATCCCCAGGTCAGGAGTTCGAGACCAGCCTGGCCTGTATGGTGAAACCCCAGCTCTACTAAAAATACAAAAAATAGCCAGGCGTGGTGGCCTGCGCCTGTAGTCCCAGCTACTGGGGAGGCTGAGGCAGGAGAATCGCTTGAACCCAGGAGGCGGAGGTTGCAGTGAACCCAGCCTGGGCAACAGAGTGAGACTGTCTCGGGGGAGGGGAAAAAAAGGAATACTGGAGACTGGGTGGTGGGTGATTTATAGAGAAAAATGCCTTAATTGCCTCCTGGGTCTGGTGGCTTCGGCTTCTGGGGAGGCCTCAGGAAGCTTCCCGTCATAGTGGAAGGCGAAGGTGGGAACAGGAGGAAGAGCAGGGGGAGGGCCACACACGGGGACCAGACCACGGGAGAACCCTCTCTATCCCAGCCACAGTGCTGAGCCACCCACAATAAACCACCCCCAAGAGGCAGTCCCCTCCCACCAGGCCAGGCCCCACCTCCAACACGGGGGTTACAGTTGCCATGAGAGTTGCTGGGGACACATCCAAACCATATTAGACTTTACTGTTTATTTATTTATTCATAGAGATGGCGTTTCACCATGTTGGCAAGGCTGGTCTCAAACTCCTGGCCTCAGGTGATCCGCCCACCTCGGCCTCCCAAAGTGCTGGGATGACAGGCGTGAGCCGCCGTCCTGGGCCGGACTTCATGGCTTATTTTGCAACTAACACGTGAATCATCGTGAATCATCGCAGTCAACCCAGGAAACCATGTTTCTAAAGTGTGGGGCCGCGGGTATTTCCTGCGAGCCCAGCCGTTGTGAAAGCCCCTCCCACTCCTCTCCGGGGCCCAGGATCTGCCTTTGTTTGGGTTTTTGGTTTTGTTTTTTGTTTTTTTGAGATGCAGTTTCACTCTTGTCGCCCAGGCTGGAGTGCGGTGGCACGATCTTGGCTTACGGCCACCTCTGCCTCCCAGGCTCAAGTGATTCTCCTGCCTCAGCCTCCCGAGTAGCTGCGGTCACAGGCGTGCACCACCACACCAGACTAATTTTGTGTTTTTAGTAGAGATGGGGTTTCTCCATGTTGGTCAGGCTGGTCTCAAACTCCCGACATCAGGTAATCTGCCCGCGTCGGTCTCCCAAAGTGCTGGGATTACAGGTGTGAGCCACTGCACCCGGCCTAATTTTTTTGTTTTTTTTTTTTTTTGTTTTTTTTTTTTTACACAGAATCTCACTCTGTCACCCAGGTTGGAGTGCAGTGGCATGATCTCGGCTCACTGCAACCTCTGCCTCCTGGGTTCAAGCGATTCTCATGCCTCAGCCTCCTGAGTAGCGGGGATTACATGTGCCTACCACCACGCCCAGCTAGTTTTGTATTTTTTTACTTTTACTTTATTTTATTTTTTAGAGACTGGGTTTCACCGTGTTGGCCAGGCTGGTCTCGAACTCCTGACCTCAGGTGATCCACCCACCTCGGCCTCCCAAAGTGCTGGGGTTACAGGTGTGAGCCACCGCGCCCAGGGATCTTCTTTGGAACTCACTGCCCAGGGACATTCTGCCACCATCTTCCTGCCCGGCTTAATTTTCTTGAAAGGCCTTACAGTAGGTGACTAACTTCCAAATGAACATGGACCCCCTGCTTCTGGAGGGATGCAGGCAGCCCCTCCCTAGCCGTAGTGGGGGCGGTTTGGGGTGCCGGGGGAGGCTTCAGGTCAGGTGGCACGGGGGCAGGCGGTGCTGGGAGGGTCAGTAATCCAGGTCCTGACACCCCCTCTGCTTTGCAGGTGCCCAAGCCCGAGGCGGACGTGCCCCACCCGTGGGGCCTGAAGCTGCAGGCCTCCCTGTCCCCGCACTTCAATCTGCAGGGGCTGTGTGGCCTGGTGCCAGAAGGCACGCTGCCCGGGGCGCCCTGGAGGGGCGCGGTGGCGCTGGCAGCGGAGGTGCCGGAGCGCACGGTGGCGCAGTGGCTGGCGGAGGCCTGCGCGCAGCCGCCGGAGGAGTTCGCGTGGGCCGTGGCCCTGCAGCTCCTGCAGCTGAGCGCCGCCCTGGAGTTCCTGGAGGCCCGGGGCGCCGCCCTGGTCGAGCTGCGGCCGGAGAACTTGCTGCTGGCGGCCCCGCGGGGCTGTGCCGCGACGGGGCCCCCGCGCCTGCTCCTCGCGGACTTTGGCCGCGTCTGCCGGCAGCCCCCCGGCCCCCCCGGCCCCCACGCGCCGCAGCTGGGCCGCCTCCTCCGCACGCTGCTCGGCCTCGCTGCGCCCTCGACCTTGGCCGCGGGCCTGGAGCGCCTGGCAGCGCAGTTGACCCGCTGGCGGCCCTCGGCGTCCCGCACGCGGGGCGCGCTGCAGGCGCTGCTCTGGGGGCCCGGGCCTGAGCTGCGCGGCCGGGGAGCACCGCTGGGGCCCTGGCTCCGGGCGCTCGGGCCGTGGCTGCGGGTGCGCCGCGCGCTACTGCTCCTGCGCCTGGCAGAGCGCGCGGCAGGCGGGGAGGCGCCGGGTCTCGAGGACTGGCTGTGCTGCGAGTACCTGGCCGAGGCCACCGAGTCCTCGATGGGCCAGGCCCTGGCGCTGCTGTGGGACTGACCCCAACCCTCGGCGAACACACCTGGCCCAGGCCTGCCCAGGAGGCAGGGCTGGGGCTGAGGTCGGCGTCTCCGTGATAGCCGGGACAACCCCTTCTTCCTGCGCGGCCCAGGTCGAAGCAGAGGGAGCAGTGCCTGCGCTCCACAGCCTCCCGCCTGCGCTGGGGATGGGGGTCCAGGGCTGGGGGCCGATGGCCGATGGCCAACGCCTCCTGTGTGGGCAGCACCTCCCTGAAGCCAGGCCCCCACACCTCTTCCAGGAGCGAACACCCCGCTGATCACTGTGGTTCTGAATGTGTTCTGCCTTCCCCAGCGGCCAGGGCGCTCTTCCGGCCGCAGGGTCTGTCACTGTCTCCATGAGAGGCCAAGACCAGGACCAGAGGCATCCCTGGACCCGGGGCACCCCCTGTGCTGAGACGACCAGTGATTCTGGGTGTGTGGTGGGGAATTGCTGGATGCTGTCAGGGGAAGGGAAGGCTCCCTGGGGGACCTTAGACACCCAGCCCAGAGGGGTCTGGACTCACCGTCCCTGAAAGTCCCCGTGGTTCTGTGCCACCTCCCCCAGTCCCTCTGCGTCCACCCTGCCTCCCTTCCTCCCTGTTCCTCCGTGACCACTAACTTCTTTCCCGCCCCCAAGCATTTGTAGAAGCTGTTTCCTCTGCCACACCGTTCCAGTTCCACTTCCTCTAAACAAATAAAGGTTGCCCCCCCCCCGGGCGCCCTGCTAGCTCCTTACCCTGCGCTCTCTGCCCAGTCCCAGCAAGCAGCACCACCAAGGGGCATTGATTCCTCTCTCTCCTTATGTTACTGTCCCCAAGGCGGTGAGTTCCCTGGAGGCAAAGGCCAGGCCTGGCACACAGTAGGTGCTCACTTAATACCGCTGGATGATGGAATAAACAGGCACAGAGGAGACTCACTCATGGGGAATAGGAGTCTTCCTTTAGGCCTCTGCCACTTTGCACTGCCTTGCCTGTGGCCTCCCTGGAGCCCCAGGGTTGCCCCTCCATTCCATTTCCCATGGCATTCCTATGAGGTCCCTCTCCAGCTCAAACACTTCCCATGGCTCCCCAGTGCCCTGGAATACACACAGGGCTCTTCCCTTTTGAAGTCTCCAACCCCATGTTGTTCATCCTTGGAGGTACTTTCTGGTACCCGCCCCCACTTCGCCCAATTTTTTTTTTTTTTTTAAAGATCCGCCAACCTCAGCCTCGCAGAGTGTTGGGATTACACGCGTGAGCCACCGCGCCCGGCGCCCAAGTTGTTTTTTTACGCTGAAAACAGCCCCCCCTCGACTATGCTTGACTCGTATTCAGCCTGCAAGGCCTCAGCTCCAAAGCCCCCCTTTCCTGCATTTGCGCCGCCCTAACGAGCTGGGAGTGTCTGTGTCCAGGTCTGTCCCCCCAGCCAACCCCACCATCGCTCAGACAGCTGAATATGCCCCCGCACACCGGGTCTACCCCCATCTCTTCGAGCTCCTCCTCTCTCCAGCCGGTTTCCCGGCCACGCCGGGCCCCGACTTGCCGGGTGGCGTTCCCGGCTACGGCCGGCCAGTGGCGCTGCGGCCGCGCAGTCGGCGCATCCGGAAGCGCTCCATGCAGGCCACACCCCCACCGGAAGTGCTGCTGCCCTGAACGGCACGGCAGCCCCCCGAGTGGGCCATTGACAAGGCGCCCCAAAAGGGCTGGAGACGCCGACCCCCACGCGCAGGCCCAGGCTGGGGCGGGAGGGGAGCGAGGCAGAGAGAGGCCCCAAGTGAGCAGTCAGCTGACGCGGCCCAGGGAGTCCCCTCCGCGGGAAAGGCCCTCCAGCTGCCCCAGTGCCAAGTCCCCTGCGACCCCTCCAGCCAGGGCCCTCCGTGGGCCCAGGCTCCCCTCCCCACAGTCGCGGGCATTAACGCCACGGAGCCACGTGCATGGGGTGTAATCACTTTATTGGCTTTCGGAGAGAATAGAAGGGAGATGAGTACCTCTTTCCAAGTTAAAAGACCTAAGACTGTTTCCAAAAGACTCCAAATAAGAAACTTCTCCTCCAAGTACAAGGATAATCTGAATCATCTTAAACCAGCAATAAAAAAGTAAAATATAAATTTTTATTTAGAATTAAAGCAAATACTTCAGTATCACAAACACAATATTCAACTTCAAGAAATATGCCGCTAATTTGGAGTGAGCATTTGCACGATTACAACATGCGGACAAACCCAGGCGAGATGAGCGAGTCTACTGTCCCCGCCAGCTGATGGGGGCGACCGCAGGGGCTTGATGTGCAGCCCCACCGCGGCTGCTACTCCTCCTCGCCGGAAGACTCTCTCTCGAACGTGTAGGCCATGAAGCAAGCGTCGGGTCTCTTGGGGACAAGGGGATGCCCCGGTCTCACAATCTCAAAGCCCAAAAAGCTGAAGGTCCGGAGCAAGGCGGCTGCGGGGAAGAGGCTGTCAGATGTCAGAGCCCCCGTGCCCAGAGGCCCTGCTGGGATGCCCGAGGGTGTGGGGGAGCGGAGACCGCGCCTGTGGGTTGAGAATGAAGGGGTGGGACGGGCACCCCCACACGCCCGCTGCAGGAGATGTGGTCACCTACCTCTGTCCTCACGGTTCTTGTGGAAGCAAATGAAGACATGGTCAGCTCGCAGCTGCTCCTCAGCAAACTCCAGGAGAACTGCGAAGCTACAGCGCGAGTGAGCACCTTGACAGCCAGACCAACGCACCTGCCCACCTCCCTCCTGGGCTGTAACAGCTACCCAGAGGGCTGCTCTACTCTGGGGTCCCCCTGGGTCCAGATCGTCTTATAGATGGGGCTGTCCTGAGACGGCAAGGTACTGAGCAGCCCCCATGTCAGAAAGTTCTCAGACACTGCCTGGCGTCCCCTGAAGGGCGGAATCCCAGGGTCAGAACTTGGAGTGCACTTTTTTTTTTTGACACGCAGTCTCACTCCAATGCCCAAGCTGGAGCGCAGAGGCTCGATCTTGGCCCACTGCAACCTTCACTTCCTGGGTTCAGGCGATTCTCCTGCCTCAGCCTCCAGAGCAACTGGGACTACAGGCGTGTGCCACCACACCCAGATAAATTTTCTATTTTTAGTAGAGACAGACGGGGTTTCACCATGCTGGCAAGGATGATCTAGATCTCTCGACCTCGTGATCTGCCTGCCTCAGCCTCCCAAAGTACTGGGATTACAGGTGTGAGCCACTGTGACCCGGCTGCAGTGACTTTACAAAAAGGGACCCTGTCCCCACCCACAAAGCAATGGCAGCCCCCATATTTGCTGCCTGAGGGCAGCACCCCCCACGTGCTCCCTGCACACCTGGGTAAGTTCTCCCCACCTGTCCTCGCCCTCCTCGGGCAGCCCGACCTGTTCTGGCCTCTCACCTGTCCTTGCTCCCCTCGGGCAGTCCTGGCCCCTCACCTGTCCTTGCTCCCCTCGGGCAGCGCACCGCCCGGGATCTCGATGTAGAGGCTGCCGCCACTCAGCACTGCTCGCCAGTGAATGTGTTTGGCGTCTGTGAGCCTGGACTGGACGTGGAGAATCCTCGTCTTGTCGTTGGATGTTAGTTCCTCTGTTACATTCAGCCGATCATCCTGCCCAGGAGACGGTGCAGCCCAATTCACAACCCCTCAGTTCAGAAGCCCCACGCACCCTACGGGGCTCCGAGACCCCGGCCACCCACCCGGCAGCACTAAGGCTGAGGCCTAGGCCATTATTCAGCTCAGGCAAAGCTCAAGCTTCGGAAGTCTGTACACTAGCTCCGACGAAACTCTGGGTTCCCAGAATTAAACTAAATCACAGGTACAGGACAGAAAGGTGCACAGGAAGCGCCTGCGGCCCCAGAGCAGCCCCAGCGCACCCCACTCCACCGTGGCAGGCCCGGCCCCATACTCACAGAGTAGAATAAGTTAGCTGAAAGATTGTGATCCCTCTGACTATTCCCTCGCCCACCTGGGATCTTCAGGGGTGGGTGAGGGGCATCAGGAGCACCACCGAGGCCCCGGACCCGGGTTACTACAGCAGAGGAGAGACACCCTGGAACTGCAAGAGACGCGGGTCAGTAGGCGGCGCCGGGCTCCGCGCAGACACCCTTCAGGGCGCGCGGGCGGCCTTCAGTCCTAATCAGTTCTGGCCGGAGGACCCCGCCCCGCCCCACACCCCAGACTTCTCGAGGGCATCTCTAACGCCTGCCCCGAGAACCAGGGGCAGCGATTACTGAGCCTCGACTCCTCGGACAGCATCGCCCAGGCCTGCCCAACCCTCACTGGGCGCGGGTCCCTTCCCCTCGCCCCGCCCCGGCCAGCGCTTCCCCTTTCCACCCTGCACTGCGGCCAGAATCCGGAACCCTGGCTTGTCCCAGGGAGGGGAAGAGTGGGGGCCTGGCCTGACCTCGCGGAGGACGCGCCCCCTCCTGCCCTGGCCCCCCCGCTCCGGGCCCGGGCCCGGTTGCGTCATCTCGGCAGACGCGGCCCCGCGCCCCGGGGGAGATTTTCACAATCGCGCAGCCGACAGCGCCAGCAGCCATTTGCTGCGCAGTGTAAACAGGCCCCAAAGTCGCCTCCATTTTGCAGGGCCCCCAAACGGCGTCACCGTCAGCACCTCAGCCAAACTTCCCGATCCCCGGGGCTGAGTGACGCCCACCTAGGTGGACGCCGTCGGGGAGGCTCGGCCGAGACCCCGTGGGCCCCCCAACCACCGCAGCTGGCCTCCGCGCTCCGGGAAACATGACGCGTGGTCCCGGGAGGCGGCGGGGGTCTTCCCCCGGCGCTGTGGGACCCCCAGCTCCCCGGGGGCCCCCGCGGAGAAGCCCTGGGTGCCGCCTACGTGCGCGGCCTCGCACCCCGCTTCCCGGGCCATCCAGACCCGCTCGCTCTGGGGCGAAAAACGTGGCCCACGAGGTCGGCCGCTTGCGGAGGCCACATCGGGGCGCGGGGGGCCAGCGGGAGTAGTTTGCCCGCCGCGAAGCACTCACGGCTCCCGCACCGCAAGCTCCACGGCTGGAACTGAGAAGCGCAAATTCACCCGCCCCGCGAGCCCTGCGTAGCCTCGGACCAGCCCCCGACAAGGGCGACCCCGCCCCCAACCAGATTGCCCCCTGCGCCCCCCAAATCCGACCCGCAACCGGAAGCCTCTCCCCTCCTCCACAATGAAGTCCTATCCCGCGAACCCCGCAAAACGCACTCGCCTCCCCCAGATTCCCCATCCTGCGCCCAAATCGGACCTCCGACCTCACCCTCGAATCAGGCGCCCCCGCAAACCCGAGCAAGGACCCCACACCCTTTTCGAATAAGGCTCCGGACCTGTGCGCGCAAACCCGACCCCCCAAGAGCGCTGCCAGGACCGGGGGGGACCTCCAGACCCGCCCCGCCCCCGGCGCGATCCTGGCCTTGACAAAGGGGCGGATCTCGCGCGCCCGGGACCTGTCTGTTCACCCGAGGCCAGCCCCCCGCGGGCCTGCGCTTCTGGAAGCTTCGGACGGGGGCGGGGCGCTCACCTCTCACTGCTGCGGCCGCCGCGGCTGTGCAAGCTGAGGAGCGGCATGGTGAGGCTGTCGTGGACGGTGGCGCTGGGTTTATCCCCTTCCTTCTCTCTGGCGAAGCAGTGGCTGTTGAGGATCCGCTGCAGGGAGGATTTCACCATCCGGCCGCTGGGGTCCGAAACCAGGAAAACCTCCGCTGCGCCTCTCCGCGCCGCCGCCGCTGCTCGCCGTTCGCAAAATGGCGTCGTCGTCGCCGCCCGCCTTTATAGACGCCGCGCCCGGGCCACGCCCCCCGCGCCGCCGGGAACGCGGCCGCACAAGGGGCGGAGCGCGGGGCTGCCGGGAAAAAAAAGTCGCGTCCGCCCCTCTCAGGGTCTGATTGGTGAAAGGTGACGGGCCCAGGGCAAGGCGGCTCCGAAGATTGGTTGTTGAGCCTTGGGGCACGCCCCCTCCTTCTCGCGTCACTCTGCGGGCCCCCGGGGGCGGGGCTTGCCGTAGCGCGGGGTACGCGCTGCGCGCGCCCTAAGCCGTCCCCGCCCCCACAACTGGGCCTTGGGGCGGGGACGGCCCTTTGGGGCCGATTTTTGGTGGTTTCCGAGTGCCAGTTTGTCCGTCGTGATCCACGTCACCCTCCCTAGGGCCCCTTCACGCAGCGGGACCCCTCCCCTGGCGGCTTGGGGCGACAAAGGCCCCCGGGTATGGGGGGGGGGGGTCTCACCGCGCCCATCCCCCAAAGGACAAGATTATTTCAAGTAACACCTGGTAATCATCGGTGATTATTATTATTATTATTTAATTTGGTCTTGCTGTTCTTAAAAAGCTTCCGATGTTTTAAAAAAGAACTTCCAATGTTAAAGATATTATTCCAAGTTAGTAAAATATTTCGTGTGCGATTTGGACTCAAGCAAAAATTGTACTCTTTGAGGATAAATTCAGATTTTTCCTGTGGAAATTAAAACTCACCCTAAAAAAAAAAAAAAAAAAAAAAACTCACCCTAAGGAGAAACATTACTTCTGGCAGTTAAAACTCAGAAACACATCTCATGTAGGAACTAAAATGTGGATCTCCCACGGAAAAAAACGATTTATTTTTCGGTTAAGTTCGGTAAACTCTTTCTCCTGTGAGCTAAAATGTGGACTTATCCAACGAAAATATTTCCCCTCCTGGTTAAATCCAGGAAAAATAAATATCTCAGGTATGAACTGCAGTTTGCACGTAATAAGCAAAGACAGAGCTCCTGGGAGTTACATTTGGGTACACACAGCTTCTGTGTAGACTAAACTACTAATTCAGCAAAAATATGCCACTTTGCAGTGAGGTTTAATAAAATATCTTTTTCTTTTTCTTTTTTTTAAGATGGGGGTTTCACCGTGATGGCCAGGCTGGTCTTGAACTCCTGACCTCAGGTGATCCACCCACCTGGGCCTCCCAAAGTGCTAGGATTACAGGCGTGAGCCGCCGCGCCCGGCTTAATAAAATATATTTCATGTATAAAGTGCATTTCGATCTTACCAAGCAAAAATACTACTCCTAGCAGATCCTGTTTTCTTTCATGGTTTTACTTTTGTTTGCGGCCGGGCCTTGCTGTCCCCCAGGCTGGAGTACAGTGACGTGATCTCAGCTCACTGTAACCTCCGCCTCCTGGATTCAAGCGATTCTCTTGCCTTAGCCACCCGAGGAGCTGGGATTACAGGCACCCCAGACCATGCCCGGCTAATTTTTGTATTTTTAGTAGAGATGGAGTTTCACCATGTTGGCCAAGCTGGTCTCGAACTCCTGACCTCGGATGATCCACCTGCCTCGGCCTCCCAAAGTGCTGGGATTACCACCTTGGGCCACAACACCTGACCCTCTTTTCAGATTTCATACTGCACTGGAAGACTGCTGTTGCATCTCTGCTATGAGCATTCGATATTCAGGTGTTGAGGCAGAAATTAACTCCTGCTGTTAACATTTGGGGCCGTCCTGGGCACTGCAGGGTGCTGAGCAGCATCCTTGGCCTCCACCCACCATGCCGGGAGCACCCCCAGTCATGACAGCCAGAAGTATCCCCAGACATCACCCAATGTCCCTTGGTGGGGGGCAGAATCATCCTGGGTGAGACCCCCCCAGGGTTAGGGGATTCCACGGACTGCCAAGGGACTCTGCGTCCCATGATCCTCTGCCCTGTTGAAGTCCCAGGAAGCTGCAGTGCACCCTGGCCAGGTGCAGTGGCTCACAAGTGTAATCTTAGCACTTTGGCAGGCCAAGGTGTGGGTGGGGAGGGGATCACAAGGTCAGGAGCTCAAGACCAGCCTGGCCAACATGGCAAAACCCCGTCTCTACTAAAAATAGAAAAATTAGCCGGGCGTGGTGGCGTGCGCCTGTAATCCCAGCTACTCAGGATGCTGAGGCAGGAGAATCTCTTGAACCCGGGAGGCAGAGGTTGCAGTGAACCAAGATCTCACCACTGCACTTCAGCCTGGACTATGGGACAAGACTCCGTTTCAAAAAAAGAAAGAAAGAAAAGAGATCCACACCCTGAATGGGGAGGGAGACAGGAGAAGAATCCCAGGCGCTGGGGTCCTCCTGGTTTAAACCGATTGCCCTGTTGGGAGTTGATGCTGGTGTCTGGTGTGAGCAGAGAACAGACGGGTCTCCTCCCTCAGCCCCGTGGACACTGGGCTTGGAAGGTTCTCTGGGATGGGCAGCCCTGGTCACTGCAGGGTGCTGAGCAGTGTCCCTGGCCTCCACCCACTCCACGCCAGTAGCACCCTCAGCCATGACAACCGGAAATAACCCAAACATCACCCAAAGTCCCTTGGAGGCAGAATCACGCCCCCTAGTTGAGAACTTCCTCTGGGAGCTGAGGCAAGAGGGTGCCCGAAATGAACAGGTCGGGGTGCGATTTCCAGAACCGCCACGACCAGGGAGCCCCGTCCCTCCGCCCTGACTGCAGCAGTTCTCACTTCCTCCTCCTGTCTACCTCTAACTCATGGCCGCCTGCCAGCGCTGTGAGGCTTCTAGAACAACCACCCCCACACTGGCCAGGCCACGGTGGATGAGCACTAGGATGAGCAAATGCACCCCGCTGGTCCATCCGGCTGTGCTCCCAGGAACCAGGGTGGGAGGTGCTTTGCTGGGAGCTGGGGAGTCTGTGACTGGTGAGGGGCCCACAGACAGCAGGGAGAGAAAGGGGCACATCAGGGAGGGCTTCCTGGAGGTGGTGAGACTTGAACTGTCTGAAAGGGACAGGAGAGCATGTGGGATGGTCAAGGATGGAGAACCCATCCCTGGGTCTTCTCTGAAATCAAGGCTGAGGGGATAGATGCTGGCAGAGGAGGCAGAGAGTATGACTCTGACTTATTTATTTATTTGGTTATTTATGACACAGTCTCACCCTGTTCCCCAGGCTGGAGTGCAGTGGCATGATCTCAGCTGCTCACTGCAACCTCCGCTTCTCAGGTTCCAGCGATTCTCCTGCCGCAGCCTCCCAAGTAGCTGGGATTACAGGCGCCCGCCACCACGCCTAATCTTTGTATTTTTAGTAGAGATGGGGTTTCACCACGTTGGTCAGGCTGGTCTCGAACTCCTGACCTTGTGATCTGCCCGCCTCGGCCTCCCAAAGTGCTGGGATGACAGGTGTGAGCCACCGTGCCCGGCCAACTCTGATTTCAAAAAGGATATGTGGGCCCGGCGTGCACTTTTTGGGGCAGAGGCAAGATCATCTGAGCTGAGGAGTTCAAGACCAGCCGGGGTTGTCCAGGCACCCTGGCTCACGCCTGTAATTCCAGCACTTTGCGAGGCCGAGGGAGACAGATCACCTGAGGTCAGAAGTTCAAGACCAGCCTGACCAACATGAAGAAACCTCATCTCTACTGAAAATACAAAATTAGCCAGGCGTGGTGGCGTGTGCCTGTAATCCCAGCTACTTGAGAGGCTGAGGCAGGAGAATCGTTTGAACCCAGTAGCCAGAGGTTGCAGCAAACCGAGATCACACCATTGCACTCCAGCCTGGACAACAAGAGTGAAACTCCGTCTCAAAAAAAAAAAAGACCAGCCAGGATAACATTGCCAGACCCCCAACTCTACAGCAAATTTTTATTTATTTATTTTTATTTATTTTTTTTGAGACGGAGTTTCGCTCTTGTTACCCAGGCTGGAGTGCAATGGCACGATCTCGGCTCACCGCAACCTCCGCCTCCTGGGTTCAGGCAATTCTCCTGCCTCAGCCTCCTGAGTAGCTGGGACTACAGGCACGCGCCACCATGCCCAGCTAATTTTTTGTAGTTTTAGTAGAGACGGGGTTTCACCATGTTGACCAGGATGGTCTCGATCTCTTGACCTCGTGATCCACCCGCCTCAGCCTCCCAAAGTGCTGGGATTACAGGCTTGAGCCACCGCGCCCGACCTTACAGCAAATTTTTAAATTAGCTGGGCATGGTGGTGCACACCTCTAGTCCCAACTATTCCCGTGCCTGAGACAGGAGGATCAGCTGAGCCAGGGAGGTGGAGGCTGCAGTGAGCTCTGATCTCGCCACTGCGCTGCAGCCTGGGTGACAGAGGGAGACCTAGTCTCTAAAAGAATAATCAGTTAAATAAAATAAAATGTAAACAGGTAAACATCAAGTAGGTGGTCGGGTGCGGTGGCTCATGCCTGTAATCCCAGCACTTTGGGAGGCCGTGGTGGGAGGATCACCTGAGGTCAGAAGTTCGAGACCAGCCTGACCAACATGGAGAAACCCTGTCTCTAAAAAAGAAAAAAGAAAAAGGAAAGAAAGGAAAATCGGCCGGGCGCGGTGGCTCAAGCCTGTAATCCCAGCACTTTGGGAGGCCGAGGCGGGTGGATCACGAGGTCAGGAGATCGAGACCATCCTGGTCAA